CGCTTTTCAAGCTTTTTCCTTACTCTTACTAAAGCAGGCACACGCAAAACTCTCTATTTGGCTTTTCACTGAAACCAATACGTCTAAACATAAGGTAGGTGCTTTCACGACTCACTAAACGGGGGATCAAAATCTTTGCGCAGTAGAGGCGGAGGACGAAGCGAATGTAGAGGACACAGCATATCCAGGGAAGGAAGATGGACTGGACTCACTCTCATTCATGGCATGGGCAAAAGCAGCCCTAATGACTTTCAGTGAAGATATGCTTATACGGCGAAGTCAGTCACAAAGTCTATGTTCGTATGCTTTCACTCTAAGCCGACCATCCAAAAAGGATGTGCACAATTGATCATTGACCGCAGTCTTCTCTTTTCTCTCCCAATGTGGGGAACTTTTTTCGGTTTTTTTCTCTTCAGCACAGCACTCAATGGTGATGCATGGCGTCATTACTGAATCCTTTCATTGACCTTTCTTTTCTATAACGAAAAAAGCCCTCCTCTCGGTGATGTGGGTGAGAAACCCAAATCAGAAAAGCTCAGCAAGCCAATGGCTCAACGGTTCTCACCACCCTCCTCTGGCGCAAACACCGTTTGCTGCGCTGCGCTCATCACGAGAAGCCGGGGAACTCTCTTGGGTGGACTTCAAGCGCGATGATAGTCAGTCTGAAGTTTTCTACTATGCCATCTTTATTAGTTCAAAGACCGGGCTTGGGGGTTGGTCTCAGTGGTCAATGAAAATGTACTAGTGTGCTGTCTTAACATGCAGAAATTTTATTAGACTGCTAGCTTTACCAGCGGTAGGAGGGTGAAAAGACGGTGCATGAGCGAAGTAGGATCCTCTTTTTTTGTATCCCATCGACGATATTCTTTGGTTTTGGTACATAACAATTTGCATAAGCAAAGTCGAATATTTGTTACAAATCTAGATCCTGCACTCTCATCTCTAGTCTCTAGCTATCATCTTAGTATATTAGTCAAGCTATATCTTGTACTTTCTTGGGCCTAACTAAGAAAAGAGAACAAGAAAAGCAAAAGCAAATACGACTTTCAGCCAGGCTGCTTCATTCAAGTCTAGGACTTAGGCAAGACTTATAAATCGAGCAGTTATAAAGCAGTTTAATCGCATTTATCGTCTCTCACTTAGCTCTGATCTGGTGTCGTCGCTCACAGTCCAAGAAGAGTAGTCCTTTCATTGGCTAGCGGGATTACGCTTAATGGGATAGACCGATCATCGCTTCCTTCCTCTACTAGTTCTGGAGTCAAGCCAGCAAAGAAGTAGACTCCTTCCTTTTTCACTGGCTAGCATCATAGGGATATTCGACGTTTAATGAGATAGTCTAGTTCTAGACTAAAGCTAGCAAAAAACAAGACTGAGGTCGATAGGGGCATTACTAGTAATTGCTAAGGTGCTTTATTAAGTATTTTCCACGCTCCTCTCCAGTCTCTTTCCAGCCTTTGTGATTTCATATACTATTCCCGTATGCCATATCTCTTATTCAATCTTGCTATACGTCCAAGCTCGGTAGTTGGAAGCAGAACTGAGACTGGATGTGACTGAAGGAAAAGGGAGATAGGTGTGATAGGAGGGCACGGTTAAACAGGTAAGCGAAGGCTCTCTCTCTCGCTCTGTGGTCTTGTGTGAACTCCTTTCCGCCCATTATTGATCTTCACTCTAAGTGAGCAGGTCAAAGCAGTTGAGGTGATAGCAATAGTAAGCAGGGAAGCAGAAGCAAAAGGTCTTCAAAGAACTTTTGTGTAATAAAGCTTCTTGGTCTCATTTCATTGGTCTCTAAGGCAAAGTCTCGCTTAATCGTTCATCGATCTTTTTCTGTAAGGCCTCGGGCCCCACGAATTCCGATTTCTGTTTTTGTTTGTATTAAAGTGTTGGTAGCTTCTAGCCTCGAGCTGGAAAGTCTCATCGGCGGGGGTACTATAGATATATCATAACTCTCTAATTGAGACTCAATCTATACAATCAATCAATCAGTATGTGCAATATACCGGTCTTTGCGATATGCTCTTTCAAATAGATCACAGATCTTCCCGCTTAGCTGCACTGCTCTCTGAGCTCTTTTGTCCGCTATCGCTTCCTCTAGTACTAGCTCTGATCTCTCTTCAGCAGTTGCAGTACGATTCTTTAATTCATCTCCTGCCCTTTATAGTCGTAATCGCTAGAAACTCTATATCATTGGCAATTGGCATTGGCGTAATCTTTTTTCTCCTGTCGGAAGGGGGTCCTGTCGAAAGCAAGAAAAGGCATTGCAAATGGCGTGCCCTTACTCTAATTCTAAATAAAGCTCTTTTGCGCTCTTGGTCAGGCCTGTAACAAGTATCTAAAAAATCTTTTCTTTTCGGCCTATGGTTCGGTCAAAGCAATGACTTGAGTGAGTAAGGAAGTAGGACCTTTTTACCCCGGCTGTGAGTTATTACTGACCCCTCTCTGTCTCTCCCCGCGCTGTGAATGAAGTGAGTAATTCGTTGGTGCTTGCCCTTCAGTAAGTAGTTCGGATGGCTGGATACATGCTACGCTCTGCCACGCTTGCCTGACCGCGAGAAGCCTTAGGGTAAAATAATCTTGAACAGCAATTTGAGAGCATCTTTGGAATTGAAAGAAGGGGCTAACCTGACTTTCACTTTCATAAAAAGAGAAAACTGGACTTGCACTTTAAGAAATGGAATTGCGATGAGCCAGAAGTTAGAATCTCGCCTAACCACCTGTCTCCGTCTCCCGTAGTTCCCCCCAGAAACATCCGTTTGCCTACTTCTACTCTGGCCGGGGGTAACAGTCTTTTTGAGAACCAAGTGGCCCTTGAGGAAGACCTTCAGAAAACCCCTCTAACTCGGGGAAAGGAATTCAAGCCCATAAAATGAGTCAAGTCTATGATAGGTACCAATAGTCTTTATGGCGCTCTTACCCCTTATGCAAAGCACCAATGACTTCGGTCTTCTGAAAGGGGCTTAGGGCATATCATCAAAGAAAGAATCCCGAGGAAGGGGGTGAAGCTGAGGTTAGAAACGGTTTCTCCCGCTGTTGCTAGTTCTTCCGTTGTTGGTAGTTCCTCAGGTCGGGTTGTTTATTTTTCAGAGCTTTTTCAATTCTTTCAGAACCTTTCGTATGCGCCTATTGGAAGATTTGGGCTACCTCCTCTCTTTCCGATCTCATTCAGATAATAAGCCAGTCCGGTTTATTAGATAGTGAGTGGGTAAGAGAGGTGCTTGGTCTGTCTCCGAATGTGGGCCTAGAAGCATTAGCCGAGTCTCTGAATATTCCCGAGGGTTCTCAGGATAAAGACAGCCTTAAGGTGCTAACGGAGCTTCCACGGTCTCAGTCCATGAAGGTGCTTGCTTTATTGGTTGGCAGCTTGGTTATAGTCGTTATGAAGAATGAAGGAGCGACGAAGGAGCTCACTTCCACGACATGGGAAAGGATCATGGGATGAGGAAAAGAAAGAAAAGGTGCAAGGTGAGGAGATATCGAGAGGTAGAATAGGTGAAATGAGTTCAAAGGAATTAGTTAAGACACGCTTCTTTAGCACAGGCCACGGAGTGAAGTTGGAAGGTTCAATGAACTACGCGAAGGGGAAATCTTGGGCGCTATTGTTGTCTATATACAAGTGGCGTAGGCGAAGCTGTGGCGACTCGTGGAGTAGACAGCGAGCTCCGCTTGAACAGAAAGCAGCAAGCTGCAAGCACTACTCCAAAAGCAGTGAGCTCCGCAACAAAAGCGAAGCGAGCCGCGGTAGCCTATTAAGTTTTTCAGCTGCATCGTACCGTACTATGGGAGGGGTCCGTACCTCCTTTAGATAGAGCCCCCCTGCTCCTAATGTAGAGCTAGAACTACTGCTACCGTGGAATCCGCGGTCACACATAAGTATCTCGCCTTCCAAAAAAAGCGGCTGCTAATTAGCACTAATGCTAATGGGGACCATCGATCAAGAAGGACTTCGGAGACTGCAATCGAATTGATCAAAAAAGAGAAATAGGGCCAACTCTTCTAGTTGCGCCTCTAACCTTACTACGCTACCCTGATAAAAGGTCGAATTCAGCAGGACTGCAGGCACGAAATGCCGATCAAATCCGTTAAAGGAAGCCTAATCAAAGCGGGCAAACAAGAAGATCTGACTGAGTTGATGATGGACCGGATCTCGAAAGGCGAGAGGCTTTCATAAAGACGTATGAGAAACGGAGGGTCGAGAGAGGCTTATTGCACGATCCACCCAACCGCTAATAAATGCTGCATAAGATAAGAGAGTGGGAGGCCGGCCCCCGCCCATCTGGAGGTGCACACCCATTTATGAACATATACAAAGGGCTAAAGAGAGAAGTCCATGGAGAACTACCAAATCCAATGACTTTGATTTGTTCGTACCATTCTGTCATCGATCACTGCTGGGTCGGTTGGTGAGTCACCCAAAAAAAGCATCGAGAAAGGTCAAGCATATATGTTTTATGAAATGATCAGCGGTTTCATTTATGCTATGCCCTGCATCGTGTTCGTCTGTGTTTATTGAGCTTTCAGCGCCATGCGCTTTGCTTCGCTTTATAAAAGAGAGAGAGCCTTGTCTTGAGAGTGAAAAGAAAGGGCAAGCGATAGAAAGGATAGTCCCTCGCGCGTTCGCGAGAACTACTAGAAAATGGTGAGATCATTAGATCATTAGTGAAAGAAGGACCAACGACGATCCTATCCTAAAGGAGAAGAAGGAGTAGGAGGAGTCAGTTTTCTTTGAAGATCGAGGTTTTAAGAAATAAGGAATGCAAAAAAGAGTAAGAACTACTCTACTTTCTTTATTTCTCCTTGTAGTATTAGGGGTCTTATTGTATTTTATTGGGGTCCGGTGCGGACAATCGGAGTTCGTTCATGCCTTATTCTTTAAGGCTACTCTTTCTTTTGGGGTTCGATCTCTCTCGCTACTCTTACTTAAAGTAGGGTGTTCCGGTTTTATTATTTTTTTGATTGGTTTTGCTGCGAGGGCTTTATTCGCTAGTGGGGCCGAAATCTATATGATGAGTCCGTCGGGTGGGGGAATAATCCCTTCCAATTCTGGTTCCTCCTGGACGGAGGATTCGTTCGAGATCAAAGTGTTGATGGAGCCCTCGCCCGAACCGGAAATGGAAGGCACATCGGCTCGTTCTGCGATCCCAAGGGTGGATGAAGCGGGGCCGCCCCCCTTACCCACAATTGTAGCTTGGAATCGTCGATGCGAAATCGCATTGCACGACTCGAGGGGGACGGTAGCTCCTATCTGCTGGATAAGGAAAAGGGAGAATATTGGTCCGACATCAAACTCGCGCTGGGGCAAGCTCCCTCCCAGCAAGAGTATCAAAGATTACTCGAGTTTGAGAACAGGGATCTACAGATCCGAGAACTCAAACATGAGTGTCTACGACTTTTCAAAAAGTCTTAACCCAGAATCCTACCTTGGCCGCCCAGGCCCCTTACAACCCCCAAGAAGCGTTTAACGACTTCTTGGGCCAACATCGCGACCGACTGGACCGGAGGGAATTGGAAGTGGACGTGGGAGAAAGGGACCAAGAAGAAATCAAGTTTTTAGATCTCTTGAGACAAAGGCTCAAAAAAGATGGCCCTGCCTATGTCACATACATCTTTAAATAACTCATTTTGGGATTCTAGTGTTTTAGCGGAAACGCGACCGGATGTAGTCATTTTAGTTTTGCTTTGATTGTGCATGACGAACCGGGTGAACAAAGTCACGATTAGAAGAAATGGTAGTTCGCTGGGATTGTCTTCATTTCCCAGAGGTGCTGGTTCGACTCCAGCTCGTGACAAGGCCTTTTTGGTCATCTATTCATGAATAGCTCTTCTCTCTTGCTCTTCTATCGGTTCTACTACGGTTCCACTAAGTTCTTCCATTTCTTAAGTATTTATAGCCCAAGGCTCTTAAAGCCCACATGCCTATAGCAATTCGATACTATCTATACCCGAAGTTAAAAAAGAAAGCGCTATTTATGGCAAACCGCGGATCGGTAGACGGAAGAGAAGCTTGAAGTGCTGCTGAAGAAGAGAGTCAGGCTTTTTCAACGCCTTTAGCTACCTTTGGTATTCCTCCACGCCTACTTTCTCTATTAGAACTGCTCTCAAAGCAACCATTGCGGGCGCTGCACCGTGGACATGGGGCCTTATGGGCTTCCGCCTACCCTATAATATAAACTGGGTCATGGCTTCTGCGACGAGCTTGGGCAAAGCTTTTGCCTAGGGGCTTCAGAGCTCCTTACTATAGGCGACTCAGGGAAAGTCTTGCTTTATTCAATTCAAAAAAATCCTCCTCTGCTATTATCGCTTAATAGGTCAGATCGATCGAATGGAATGAATGGGCTCAGCCTAAAGGCCTTGAGCCAGAGGTCATACTGATCCTGTCCTTTCAATAATAGTTAAGACGCACACAAGAGAAGGAGACCCAAGCACAGCCAACCTACCTTTATAAATCCACCACACTTTGAAAGTGTTTAGATTCTATTAGTGTGCAGTGAGTGAATAGCTAAAAGAATAGAGTGACCATCTTTGAATATCTAATATCAAGTGGTATAGTAAGATAAACATGGATATAACAAATATCTGGCTCTCGTCGAACTAGAAAGCAATTCCTCCCACTTTGACTCGAGCTTCGGATATAAGACCTGTAAGAAAGTCTATTACTAGTACCCGGAGTTGGTCTCCCATTAATACTTCACCGTGAATCACCTTCTCTCTGTGATCCTCGCTACTTACTGCTTATGCTTATTTGTTATTTCAATGCATCTGGGAATCAAAAATAAGTAACTTGCCGGCCCTCTTCCTTTACGTCCTTCACCCAGCTAGGCAAACGCAGCGCAGCTCAGTCGTGCAAGTTCACGTCGGATTACGGAATCTGGAGTAATGATCGAAATTGAATGTCTTTAGTCAAAAAACGACGAAAGCTGTCCTTGCCATTGAAAAGAGTGCCATGGCCTAAATAAAGTCATCCAAGCCTTTACGCCGTTGATTTGATGCCATCTTCCGTCATCTCCTTGATCGACTGTCCCTAAAAAGAGCCAATGCCAGCTACTCTTCTAAGCCATAAAGCGAGGGGCTAACCGGTATTAACTCCTCCCGTCCCGCTACGCTTCTTCCTTCCCACTGTAAAGGGAATCAAAGGATACCCGTTCGTAAGCTTTCCCAAAGCTTCACTCACTAACAATCCTAATCCACTTAGTCGATTAGCTGCTGGTCGTTCACTTAGCTTAGTGTTAGGGTTTTGAGGCTAGCCCCTTGTTCCCTTAGTGCTTAGACCTTAGCCTACTAGCTAATCGATTAACTACAACCCCACTTCAAAGCAAGAAATCTCAATACTCTTCCAGGTGGTGGACCCAAAGCAAGCTTCATCCATATAACCTTAAGCGGGATAGGTGGGAGTAGAGACAGTGGACCGAATTGACCTAGCATTATCCTACCGACCCATAGCCCATACCTTTCTCGACCGAAGCCATAAGTAGTAGTTTAACGCTTGATCGAAGCGGCAGTTACCAGAAAAGAAGATCAGAATCGGGGCTCGGGGTCACGTATAATAAGATCCGAAATCTCTACTGGTTGTTTCGATCCACTAAGTCACGAGTACAAACGTGGCTTTCTATCTTCCATACCAGCTCATCCTTCAAAACCTCTAACCCTTGCAAGATGCTCTTCCAAGATTGAGAAGTCGCCTATCCAACTAGCGGGACAGCCCTGACATTTCTTCAATGCATCTCCTTTCGGATTCTTCTATGTCAACCTAGCATTTCGAAACGAACAAATCCAGCCAAACTAGCAATTGGACAGGTCCCAGCTTACTAAGTAAATCGGCTACATTCTCCCGGAAATCAAGAGGGATGCCGGATGTAGAACCCGCTATCGAAGAAGACAACTCCCATCTAGGTCAATGGAAGTCAATTGATCTCGAAAACAGAGAAGAAAGCAGCATCCCGCTCAATGCAAGTAGGGAGAACCCGTTCTTTATCTTGTTTCATCAGCAAATGTGGCAAACGGTGGTCTTATCCTCTTTTACTTATACAAACAAGATATACCCTAAAGTAAAGGCGAGTCAATAAAGTCAATAAGCAAAAATCTTTATGAAAGCAAGTCCCATCGAGTGGAGTCAAGGCATGCCTTAAGGTAGTAAACACCAAGTCACTGCACTAGATGTTCTGGCTACATTGCATCAATATTTAAGCCCGATCGTTTCCATGCAGAACCTGTAAAAAGTCAAGCCCCGAGGATTCTAGTTTTACACCCACATACAAGCCTGTAGGTATCACCTTGATGGTTGACCCCAGCAGAGGTAGAGTCACCTGTCGAAAAAAGAGTCTTTCTACGACCGATGGCTAACCATAAAAACGAAAGAATGGCAAAGAGGATCAAAACCACAAAATGGAAGGTTTTCGTAGTCCCCAGGGAAGATGGCTTTAGCTGGGTCTTGCAGACGGGAAGACTTCCTTATTCATTATAAATATCCCACGTCTTGCTTTACGCGATTGCTTGCTATTCGGTAGACGAATTGTTACCTACGCTTTTCTTTGTCTTACGACTTGACTGTGTTTAGCAACTCATCTCATTAATAAGCATTTTGTGAAACTAAATAGACTTCTGAACCGGAAGACTAAGCGAATTCTCCTTACTATTGTTTGACTACAGCCACTTCTACACCTTCATTTAGCAAATCCGATCTTTATTCGTTCTTCTTCTATTTCATTATTAGAATTTAATTATTTCATGATGCTTCAATCCATTTTTTATATAAAGTAACTACGACCAGCTACTGCTACCCCAATCTACGATACCTTCTCATCTCCTTCGATTGGTTCCGTGTGGGGCATCCTGCTGAGAGACATTAGCTAATATAGCCTGCCCCTTTTTGCGTAATACCTCTTTCTTGGTATGTGGTCTCCTGCCATTTTTCTAGCACAGTAGTTGCATAAGCAGTCATGTTCAGGGGACGGAGTTCAAGGCGAGTAGTCTCTGGAAGTAGGTTCATCCCCCCCCTCTTGGTTGGCGATGGCCAGGTCTTTTGGTATAAATGACTTGCGATAGTCTAGCTAGCGAAGTAGGGTAGGATAGCAAACGATGCGATAAGGAACGGAGTCTGTAGCTGCCCTTCTATCTTTCTTTTAAGAAAAAGAGTGAATCTATAGAGAGCTAATATACTATATGCTTATAGTACCCGAAGGTAAAATAAGCAAGGCATAAGTGAGTCTCGTGCGCTAAGCAGGAGTAGGTCTTTGGTCAGTGCGCCCACAAAGTAAGGGAGGTTCAGACTTTTCTTACATAGACGGAAGTTTCACTGAAAGCTAATGCGAAATTAAGAGAGACTTTCACTATGCAGTGGGCTAGCTTTAGTTTGTCTGGTCTGGTATCGATGCATGCAATAGGAGTTCTAGTCTTGCTATATGTCTTAGCTTGTTCCCCTCTATACAGTGCTGGTTCGAAGACTAGGCAAAGATCGGAGACTAAACACGAATCATCAATTCCTTTGACCATTCGTTTTGAGCCTCCAATTCTTTTAGAAATGCTAACGAGGTTCAATGATGCCGACGAAGGGAACCAGCTGAAAGGTTCTCAAAGGCAGGCGCATAACATAGGCTGACTCATAGGAGAAGGCTGTGCGTGTAAATCCCAACTAGAGAGCTCCTTTTCATTGGCTACTCGACCTATTTGGAAAGAGCTACTCTCAAGCCTATTCTGTTACTTTTGAGTCGATTTCTGTTTCAAAGATCACTTTTATCAGGCCGGAATAAAAAAACCACTTCTCATTCTGGAGCGGTAAAGTCAATAGCATTCAAAACCGTCAGGATTAGAACGGATAGAACGGTAACCGAAGGAGCCCATTTCTGTTCCTTCGCCTTTCTTTCATTTCATTAGAAAGTTCCTTCTTTTTGTTACCCGGCTTTGATGAGATAGGATCGGAAAAAGGTCTGACTCTATGGTAGCCGACTTGATTGAATTTCCCTTAACGAGCTACGAATCTAATATGGTTACGGGCTTCCTGCTCTAAGAGTGGGTTCCTTGCCCCTGTCTCCCATAAAAGAAGAAGAAGCCAAGACTAACTTCATTTAGTTGTGAAATATTTATATTCTGCCTTAACCATGCCAACCCTGTCAAAAAGATTATCCAACGGAAACTGATGATTTTTCTCGGATGTGAAGGCTTAGGCTTCCATTTATGTTTTAGGTTTCATTTCTTTTCTCCGCCAGGGTGCTCACTTCCTTCCTGTTCCCAGAGCCAGCTTCAGTCTGCTTTGCTCCATCTAAGGCTAGGGCTAGGCACTTAATCTCCCCAACATTTCTTCTTCATGTGCACATTTGAAAACAACCTATTGGCTTCAGACTTTTCCTTCCTAGCTGCCCGGATCTGATGCACAAAAAGAGGCCATTTATACTATACGCAAAAGAGCACTTCGGATTCAGGCTAGGCTAGACTTTCTTGCCTTAGGTCAATCAGGTCTTTCTCTTCC